TACTGGATGCCACCACGCAGCTTCCTCAAGTTGATATCGAAGGACGCTCCTGCCAGAGCCCAGGGTCTCTCTGAGCACAAGGACATGTTCACGGCCGTGGAACGCCTGGAAAGCACACCTGCTGACTCGCCCGACTATGGCAAAGTCCGTCGACTTTTGACAGACATGGAGTGGCCGAACCAGGTTTGGGTCAGGGAGAATTTCAGCTTCCTGGCTGAAACTGGTTTTCGGGAGGTGCCACCCTTGCTCGAGGTCGACCTGACAAAGTATTCACAGGCCCATCACTGCACATTGATGCTCGAGAATCTTTTCAATGATGCTCGCAGGGCAGCCAAATCGAGCGACAGGGGTCGGCTGGAACAACGTGGTGTTTGGCATGCAACAGTTACGCAGCCGACAGTAGAGCTTGTGTGTTTACATACCGTTCCAGTGTAGAAGCCAAAAGCGACCGGACCCTGTATTGGATGAATAAGGCTTTGGCGACCAACACCATCAAAGACTTTGACCGGCCTCTCCCTGGGCCTGTTCCTTCATCAACTCACACCACGAAGAAGCTGCCGGCCAAATTTTTTGAGCCATCCAAGGCAGGATCAGTCCAAACGTACTTGTTGCACGTAATGTTGATTTGTGACAGCCTCTGTATCGTATGTAATCATGTAACTAAGACAATCCATCCCTGTGAGGAGTTGCTGACATTGGAGCAGGCCCAGATTGAGTCCCTCACATCATCCCGTCCAACATGGCCCAACCACAATGCCAAGTACCACAAAGAGACAGCCTTGGCCACTCTGAACATGACATCCTGTGGCGGGAATTTCGCTGACATGAGCAAGGCATGGCTATCACTGTTGTTGGTGCCAGGCAGCTTCTGAGATGTTTGTTTGAGCAAACTTGTTTTTTTCGGGCAGCTGGAGTGCCTCTGATCAGGTTTTCTTGTTTCATGCCCAGCGGTTCCCATGTTTCAGTGAGGTTTGGTCTCTGACCACAAGAAGCGTGGCCTGGTCCTCTACACCAGCTGCCATGGATATCTGGCGCTCACCTGTGTATTCGAGGGCGAGAAGAAGAAGCGCAAGTTGAATCTGCAAGACTTTGGGGACAGCCCTGCCACAAAGCAGCATTTATGTATCTGGCACTTGCGTTTCCTTCTCACCAAATTCTGGAATTTGGCCCGGGGGATGGCTTTGAAACCTAAGCCCTATATCCTAAACCCAAAACCCTGTAATTAATGCTATCGACCCCAACCTGGTTTGTGGTGGGTCTGGACTTAAAACACGCGGGGGAGGGAGCGGCAGTTGGTTTAGTATATGTTAGATGCGCTCATTTTGCATGATTTGAAGAACAGGTCTGGTTTGATAAGATCCTGGATTACACTCAGTGGCGGTGCTCGGACGTCCAGATTGTCCCTCCGAGTCAATCTGGCCAGACAGTTCAGTTCAAGGATGGTTCTCAGAAAGGCCATTTGCTGAAGTTTCATGGCTTCTGATTTCAGAACTTGTTAACAGTACCACCTTAATCTGCACTCCTAATATTAAATTACCTTTCCCCGCTCTCAACATCAAACGTACGTTCCAGGAAATCCACCCCAAAACACCCTAAGGAAGGTCCAAAACTAAACTACGACCACGAGAAACAGTAGGGATAAGAGTACCCTTTAATACGAGAAATAGGCTTCTATTGTCTATTAGAAACCCCCCCACCTAAGTTGAAGGTTTAGTAGAGGCTGCTGTGAAGGTTTCTGGTTTAGGGGGCTTTGGGCTTCGGGTTTGGAGTTAGGGGCCTAACATGTAGGGTTTAACTGTTGTTTTCAGGTGTGGGTTGGTTCATCGCGTAGGGTTTTGGCTTGACATGTTGGTGTGACTTTGTTACTGTGAGGTTCTCAATTCAGCATGGGTGCCCGCAGATGACCGTGTACTACCTGCGCAAACTGGTCTCTCATCTCTCGCTGCGGGTCCCTCAACCAGCGACTGAGATCAATCTAATGCGAACTCTGGCCCGTCATGCGTTGGGGGACGCATTCACCGAAGACAAGTTCCGTGAGATCTTTTCAAGGAGGTTGAAGCTTCATGAGGCCCAGAGTGGGTTTCCGCATTTATTTGTAGTTTTCTATTGATGTTTCAAAAGTGTCAGCTATGCCATGAGAATGGCATTGTTCCGGCTCGGGGGCCAAGTAGGGCTTGCAGATGCAGCCACAGGACCTGGCCAAGCCCTCCACTACTCTCAACCGTGTCGAGGAGGCTTTGGCGGACGAGGAATATTTTGACTGGGAGGACTTGGAGCTGCAGGAGGTCGTTTATGCGAAAAAGAGGCGTCGCGAGGCTGCCCTTGCAAAGCTCGCTGCGGCCTCTCAGTCTCCACCAAGGTTGCTCGGTCAAGTTGAGGCATTGAACCCTGACCTGACCCCTAATGGGGTCGGCCCATGTAACCTTTCAACCAGGTCCTCCACCGGGGTTTCCTAATTGAAGGGGCTTCGAAGTTTGTAAATAGTGAATTGATTTCCAGCGCTGGAGCTTCTGAACTGCAGGGGGTTTACAAATCTGAAGATAACATCCGTTGACCAAAGCTCCTGTACCCAGGCCACCACAACCTGAGGACGCTCCCACGCAGCGCCGCAAAGCGGTGGTTTTTGCTCAGGAGGGCATGAGCCAGCCAGAGGCAAAGAGACTCCTGCCTCCGGAGTGCACCATCTCGAAAGAGCGGGAATGGCATCATCGCTGGAAGCTCAAATGGGCCGCATCACCGGCTTTAAATTTAAATGTACAGTTCTCTTCTGCTGCAGAGTGCAACGAGGCCCTCAAGCATGTCTTGGTGTATGCCTGGTCAATCCACAAACAAAGGACCGGCGAAGACTGCCCATGGCAGTTTGACAGTGAGATTTTGCCACCATAGAGTGTGGACTCTCTTTGCCAGGCACCTTTAGGCCAATCAGCACGTTGCACAGGTCTCTCATCAGAGAATCCACACAGCCGAGGGAGGCACTGCCGGGGCGTTCCACACAAAAAGCTCAGAGCCGCATCACTGGTTTTTGCTCCAGACATTGTGCACATTTGCCTTGCCTGCCACGTTGTGAGCATTCCTGCCCGCGAGGCCCGGCAGCCGTGGACAAGAACAGCATCAGTCAGTCATGCGCTGGATCAAAAAAGGGGGCCCTGTTTATGAGCTGCGGGGTACTTTGGTAAAGGTCTAAAGCATCGCTCTTCAGCCCTAAACCCTAAACAATATACCCTGAACTCCCAACCCTACAAGTCTTGGTATGCCTAGGACAAAGGTACCCTTTTGCAAGGGTCCCCTCTGGCACTCCCCGATACAATTGTTTTCTTCTTATTAGTACCAGTATTACTATTATTGTTCTTCTTATTATTACTGTTATTGCTCTATTAGTATGATACTGTTACATTATATGGAAGGTTCCTCGACTTGGGCGCCCCGGACTTAGCCCTGGCGGCCCTCAAAAGGCGAAAGGGTCCTGGGTTCTGACAGGTCTCACGTCTTGCACGGGGTTTAGGGTAGGGTAGTCGTATAGGGTTTGGGGGTGTTTAGAGTTGAGGCGTGTTCGCTGGCACACAATCCAAGCCCATGCTGACAAGGGATGTTTAGAGTTTACCGGCACCTCAGTCCGTGCTGCAAAAGGGTTTAGGGGTAGTTTGATTTGGACTTTGGCGCAAGGGCTGGAAGTGGAATTTTGGCTAGAGAATGGCAGCAAGTTGAACACAAAGATGTTCGCCGAAGTTCGTGTTCACGAATGGTGGTAAGCAAGAATCCGGATCGTGCCATCTGCCCATCAGCCGAAATTTGTCCGTCAAGGTAGCTTTTTGATGAGTACTGAAACCATGTGACTCCATGAGAGTGACATCGGCGGACGAGCTTTGCGATTATTGGAGAAGGTCAGGGACTCTTGTCACGCCCTCTATACTACAATGATGCTCTCCTTGTAAAGATACCTGAATAGCGGGCCATCTCCAAGTTTCCGACAGCCGACAATCCCCTCCCCCAGATGCCCCATAAGCTGTGCACAGGCATGGGCAGAATCCCTCTCTGCAGGAGCCGGGGAAGTTGATGTTGGGATCTAAGCAAGCCACACAAGAGTTCAACGAAACAGAGTATGCGGGCTGCCAGACAAAAGTCGGCACAACAGGAGCCGGGACAAGACGTGGTTTGCTGGAAAGTGCTGAGGGCGCAAAGGAGCAGACTTCATATAGGTGACATATAGCAAGATATGATATGTTATACGATATATTGTATTATACATACGTATAACATGTAATGTATTCGCAACACCTCTTAAGCATATACTTTACCGATTGTAACACCTTTGCCGTGTACAACCAAGCGCTCCTAGCGTGCGGCCACATCCTGGCATGATACCCAAAAGCATCCTGGGGCGACGGCTGCTATATACCTCAGTAAGCAGACGTTTTGGCCGAGGCCCGATCTTACATTTTCCTTCATATACACTTGTTGTGTACAGCTTGCGGCTTGCGATGCCGCTGATCACTGTTTCGGTGATGGTTCACTACTTCCTCTTTGGCATGGCAGCATCCAATGAGTTGTCGAGCTGCGTGGGTTGCATTCATGACGAGAACATGCTGTTGCAAGCGGTGAAAGCACAACATCGCTGGCGCCATCGTCGATGGGCTTCCTGGCGCTTCGGCCGCTACGGCCGCCATTACGGCCGCTACTATAGCCACTATTAAGGGCCGAAGACTACGACGGAGAGGACCACTTCCGCAAGCCCTACCACCACCACTACCAGTAGCACCAGCGCCATCGTGTGTACTGGTGGTACTGCCAATGAAGGGCAAGGCCAGGAGCTTCGCGCTAATCCCAACCCTGCCCAGAACATCATCACGATCAATTCAAGCGTGACGAGCCCGGAATGTCAGTGCGTGGGGGGCACAAGCGGTGATGCTCTTGCACCCGGCTACTTGTCCGTTGCAGCTGGTGGCTTTTCGGATCCTGATGAAGTCCGCTTCATCTCCGTCACCAGCCCTAACGGGACGGAGATGAATTTGACAACAATAATTACCGACACCAGGACCAGTCCATTCCCTGTTGCCGGCACGGTGGCCTTCAACGGATTCTCGGCCATTGGCGATTGGGTTATCAAGTTGCTGGATGGCAGTGGCAACCTTGCCACCTCAAAGGCTTCTCTGGTGATTCTGAGATTTGGTCTACAACCTTGCGATCGAATCGCGCCGGCAGCTGATTGCTTCGGCAACGGCTTCAACAGAAAGTTCGCACTTTTTTTCAATCGGTCTCTGCTGGGCACCACTCTTTCGGCTGCCGAGACGGCTGCGCAATTTCAGGCGGACCTGCCGGCTGCATGTTGTGTCCCTGCAGCCTCCCCGTTCATGCAGCTACAATTCAGCAACAGTCCACCGTTTAATGGCATCGTGAGTGCTCATGGTCGCAGCCCAGACCCAGATGGCGCAACTCTTACCATGACTGGACCAGTCCAGGCCGATGGTGGTGGTCTTCGCACTGTGTTTATGCCTACTCAGGGCCCTTCGTTGCTGGTAGTGTGGCAACCGGACTATGGAATTTCAACATCTCCACGGCTGGTTTTGAAGCAGTCATCGACAACACTCTGCGAGACCCGCAGCTCCAAATCCTTCTGGAGCCTTGCTCATAGGTCAAAAATGTGAACTCGGTTGCACCACAAAAAAACTCACTTCCTCCATAACCTCGCCTGTGGACATAGTTGCCAGCCATGCGAGAGACAACTAAGTAGGTTACGACCACCATCTAGTACATAGCCCATCATAGCACAGTATCCCATGATTCCATGATTTAGGCCCCCGTTGTGCTTTGAATCGAACGAACCCGCAGGAGTCTGGGTGTGCTGCGCTACAGGTCCGGAGCTGTTGGAGCTGATCTAAGGGTCTCGGGTGACGATAGATCCCACGAAAAGTGAAGTGCTGTGCTTCAGGGACTAGTGCCTGGGATGATGTCCGGAAACTGTAGGGGCGGCAGTGTTTGTGTTGCCGCAAGGGTTCACTTGTTTTTGAAAGGCCTTAGCTGGCAGCGATGCCGCAGCGCTAGTCGACTGCGATGTGGAGGAGGCCATTGTGTTAAGGCGCACACAAACAAAACAAAGGCACAGCCTAACGCAGGAATGTGCCAGCAAGCATGGCTCAAGAATGGATAAACATGCAGGGCAAATGCCAGGACCATCCGTGAACAGCAAAAAGACGCAGGAAACACGAATCTCCGGAAGTGCAGCTTTCCATACCGTACACTATCAGCAACAGGACGACGCTGAACGGAGCATGTTGCATATGCTTATTATATGAGCCGTGTTTTGAAGTATAAATCAGCGTATCGTACATATTGGCATTTACATACGGGTTGGACCTATGACTGCACACGAAAAGCATGTACGTGATGGACAGGCAAAGAATGCTTGATGTGGCCGTGCTGCGTGCGACATGTCAAAACAAAGGTCAACCTTGGTTTTGTTTCGGATGTCAGCTCAACTTTCAGCAGCTCTGAGAGCTCAGCATCGCACGCATCTCCGAAAGCTACAGACTAGCTTGAAAATTGACGGTTGTTCCAAATCAGGGTCTCCTCACGGAGCCTATGCAACTGTGGAAGACCGTGGTTCCTTTCACTACAGACGTCACTGTTGTTTAGAAGGCGGTCCTCTCATCGCTGGCCTCCCAGCCGCGATCGCTGGTCGTGCAGTTGCTTGGCGTTCGCTGATGGCAGGTTGTCATTTAGGTTTGGTGGATTTCAAACCGGCCGACTCTGGGTTCAAAAGGGGTTTTACAAGGGTTCTGGAAGGATGCTTTACGACTTGCGTTACGACTGCTCAGTGGCCCATACTTGTCCTACAAGGCTTCTAAACTTTCAAGACTGTTCGATAAGGGTTCTATGCTGGTTCTGCAAGGGTTCCGCAACTGTTCTAAAAGGGCCCTACAAAGGTTCTATGTTCTAGAACTGTTCGATGAGGGGGCTAGAGGGTTATGATGCCTCACCCCTCAGGATCCGAGGTCTCGACCTCATCGCGGCGTTGGTGGCTGCAAGGTTCGGTTGGCGAATGTTGCTCACGAGTTCGGGTTTAGGAACTATATATGTAGGGTTTCAAAGTTCGGCGGACGAATCAGCCGTGTAATTGCATTTTTGAGCAGCACGTACAGCCGGCTGCCTTTAAGGCACGGAGGAGCATGGCGGTGCTCACCGGCCGGAGTCTTGCGAGAGCATTATATAGTTAGTTGAACACAGCGACCGCAGGCAGAGGTCACCACCTGTTGCCGTCGACCTGGCGATCGCAGCCCTCAACCGCTTTCCAGAAACGTGGCCGAAAGTTTTGTTTGCTTGGAGGCCTTCTGAAATCAGGCAAGTTCAACTCTCTGTGCAGACATGCCCAACACCATCTTCCAGCCATTCATTCCAAGGAGGTGCCGGAGCTTGTGGAGGTCGCGATCATGGCACTGGCCCGGCTCCTCACCTTCGATGAGGCAGCAGCGTTTGGAGCGAGTGTTTTTATTGGGGGGTACTGGCTTCTTTGGAGATGTCAACATTCATGGGCTGACCATGATGTGGATACATTTTTTCTCAATCTCCCCGGACCAGGAGAAGGCGGAAGAGCCTATGGATCGCCTCTCGGCCTCATCGTCGCTTTCTGTAGGTAGGTCATATAGGCAGTAGAATCCGTAGAAACTTTGCAAACGCCACTGCTTACTTCTGCATTAGAAGACCTAGACTAGAGCGTGGCCTCTTCATAGGGGAAGAAGACAGCTGCAACACAGATCCATACTGATCATGCCTCGCAAACGCAAAAGCAACCGCCATGCAAGTGAAACGGACGTAATCACGGATCCAGAGAGCGGTCAGAAAGCACTTCGAAGTCCGTTCCGTCTCAAACGGGACTGCCCAAGCGTGGTCCTGAGGCATTGCTGAGCAAGTTGTGGCTTTTCTCGGCGAGCCCCCGAGCGATGCAACGAGGTGGCACGGCTGGATCAAAAGGTTGTCACGAGAGGTTTTTCACAAACAGGTGCATTGGGAATAATGGCTTTGTCGGAGCTGCCATTGTCCCGTCTCTAAACTGCCTCTTGCAGCAGGACGGTTCTGCGCAGCATTGCGCAGGGCAGCACCGACATTGCCACGCGGCTTACCGCCCTACGTGGCGTGCCGGCCCTGCTTCAGGACACCGGCAGGGCCAAGGTTCAAGAGAATGCCTACATGTACGCATATACATGTCAAGTATTACAAAAGTTCACGGTGCCTGTGTGTATATATGTACATTTGTATTTGTATACGTGTGGGGGTCATCAAAGTTCAAGCAAATGTAGCACTGCACCTGTTCGAGCAGTTGGTACAATGTACTGTGCCATGTACAGTCGACCTCGTGAGGCCCTAGAAGGTAGATCCCCTAATTTGGGGCCCTATACTACTAAGGGCACTTTATAGGAACCCCCACAAAGGGATCTGCTTTTTGGGTCCTCCGGAGGCCCTGGATGCCGTCCAAAGCTCCAGCGTTGCTGCCTTGGCGATCTCGCTGTCACTTGGCCTCATTTCTTAGCGCGCAGAGTCTACCTTTCATTTCGAGACAAGCATGCTGGCCAAGAAACCCGGCTGGCGAAAAATGAGCCTACTACTGTAATGAGTTGTCGCTGGACAGAGCAGTAAGCAGCAAGCAGGGCCTTGTTGACTGAGTGTAGATGCACAATCAGGGGTTTCTCGATTGTACGTATCGGTCAGCGGGAGAGTTGTGGTTGGAAGGTTTAGGACGCACCTTGATGACGTGGGTAAGAATGCGTTTCAAACATGTCTACTACATGCCGAGATGCACAGCTCCTGTCTATGTGCCTACAGAGAACACATAGCACGTGACTCAATGTCCTGCTCCTGCGAGCTTTGCTAGCTCGCCATGTCTTCATAGATTTCATGTTGTCCTGTCCTGCTTGTCGCTATCACGCACGATCCGTTAAGCTCTGCCGAGGCTCGCTACTTTGGCTGCGAGGCGCCTGCACTGAATCCAGACTCGCTGCTTTTGTCCAGCTACTAAGAATAGGTTCATACGGTTACACACCCCATATGTCCTCAAAGAGTTCATGGTCCTAATATGGTGTTTTGTAGCCTCTAACTGGCTTCGACGATCTCACTTTGAGAAGCGGGTTCACTTGTGCAAGCCTCCCTTCATCGCCACGATAGGCTCCTAGGAAAGCAAAGCCCTTCATAATTACATCCTGAAGCTTCGACGCCCAAAACCTCATCCAGTACTCAAAAGAACGCTCGGTCATCCCGCCCGGTCCGACAAGCTGTGGGCCATTGTAGGTGCCGACCAGCACGCCGAGGGGATGCGGCGCCGGTCGTGAGAGCGATGCGGCGCTTTGGAGTGCCGAAAGCCGCAGAATGTGTCGGTTGATTGGGGTTCGGCACATTTGCTCGCATCGCAGGTTGCCTCTGCAACCCGGACTGACCCGTAAACTATCTTCCCAAGTTTCCAGGGGCTAGATGTTGCCTGATTCGGTTCACTTCCCCAGGCCACTAAACAGCAAGATCTCAATCCCAGGACTTTGTTGCAATCCAGACCGCCGGCTGTACATTCATCTCTCGTCTTTCTTCAGATGGCTTCTCAGCTGAAGTGCTGGTGCTTCAGGCCTCCAGAGGAGGCAGTCTCTATTTATATAAACCGGTTGATTCTCGGCGGGGCAAGAAGTGTGCAACAGGATAGTACTGTCTGTTGGTTAGTGCGCACCAACTGGCATTGTTTGTGTTCGGCGCTTGAGTGTCGGAAATGGGGTCGCAAGCCGCACAACCTCCGTGGCGACAGTTCTTCTGGGACTGTAGTCGCTTCTTGTCAGCCTCCGGAAATCCTACGTCAGCTACGGACTCCCAAAAATGCAGCTTTCGCAGAGGCAAGGCCCGAGATCCATTGCAGAAGCGGACGCCATTCAGCATCTTTGCAATTCGCAAAATCATCATTCATTCGTCTTTCATAGACGCCATGCTAAACAGTGGGGGCAAAGCCCTGACTCGTAGCACCCCGCGAACCCACAATGCGACACCCTTCCCTAGAAATGCGAAAGCCCCAACAAAAATCCAAAGCGAGGGCCCCAGCAAAAATCCAAAACCCACAGCCAAAACAACATCCCCGCCAAACCCGAAACCTCCAAAGACCCCGAAGCCTAAACTTATATAGGAGGCATCAGGAGGCCAAAGGTCAGGGACGCCCTAAACATCCCTAAGCCCTGTTCTAATGTAGTATAATATAATATTGTATAGTATGATATAGTAAAGTATAATATAATATAACATACACCCTACAAACCCCAGGGGAGGAGTCCGCAAACGGACTGGCGGAGCTCGGATGCCTGGATCTGGTGCCCTAGCAATGAGGGTTCACAGAACAAGGGAAGTTCCACGGGATCAGGGCAGCCTAGTTCGGCCTTCGCCTTTCTATATTTTGACTGCTTCAACTGTATGTCAGAGGCCCCATAGTAGTTCCTTTTTGGGATTACTTGATAGGATTCCTTTACGAACTTAAAAGGAACTATTTGGGGGCCTTTGGGTATGTCAGAGTTTTGCAGAAGGCAGACGGTTCGGCTTGAGCTTCACATGTCCAGCTCACAAATCCTGGGCTGCACAGCAGATCTCGTCGCGCAAGAGTTGTTGCTGTGGAGGTATTCGAGACGCTGGAGGCCTGTGTGGGGAAAGCGCGGTTGAACGCTTTGCCCTGTTAGGGAGGAATGGCACACTGACTGGCATGTGAATGGGCATTTTGTTGCGAATGTCCAATGCTTGCACTGTTCTGCATTCATCAAATTAAAAAGGATCGCGCCGATCTCTGCGAGCGGAGATCGAAGGAGTCGCTTGTATTGGATCGTGTCGATCGCACGAAACCCCAAGAGGTTTGCCATTTTCCTGACCGAGACGGCGCGTGGAAACCTGCGCCATATATCACATCCTGAAAACATCCACGGAGCCAGCCATTTTCCATACATTGGCTCGATCTTCTCATGAGCCAGTGCAAGTGGCGAGCATCGTCCTCGCAGGCTCACCCTGAGGATGCAGACATCGCTTGGTGGGCATTTCTGGCACTGCAGAACCTGACCTGCGGCTTCTAGGCTTGCAAACGAAAATACAACTCAGGTTGCTTTGTTCCACAGACCTGAAGCCGTTTGAAGCTGTGTCTCTAAACACTTATAGCGACGTGCACTGTAAATCCTTCACTCTACCTGCCATGACTACACAAGTTGTATACACCCCATGAATTTAGGGCCATAATACCCTGTTGCTCCCCAAGAAACTCTAGGTGCTTTGTACAGACTTTATCAGTAATGATGGCGATTATGGCTACTGCTTTTGGTATGGCTGCTCATTTACTGAAATTTTGCAAAATATTGATATAGCGATCTGTATTACGGTCTATGGGGCAGATCGCCAAGGCACCTCGGAGGCTGCGCGCAAACGGCGAGAGAGCGCCGTAGCTCTGGGCTGGCTGCCGGAGATGATGCGACGCATCGAGGTTTGGTGCTTTGGATGACTTCCATTCAGTTTTACATATCGAGGTGGTGGGGCTGTACAGTATTGGGATTGGGGTGTAGAGGTACAGCAGTTTACGTGGGGGTTTTAGGGGCATCTCGTGGTGTTGGCCTTTTCACAGGCTCAAAAAACAGGTCACCCCGTGAATCATTATGCCCTGATTATGCCCTGACAACCGAAAATGTGCATCTGAACGCGTCGCAACGGGCCTTCTGCAAACTACTCCGATCCATGTAAGGAGACAAGAACAGAGCTTTCTCTAAGCCCGAAGCCCCAGTTCCTACAACCATCTCCGAAATCCTCCTAAACCCCGCTAAAGCCTTGAAGCCCGGAACCTTAAGTGAAAGCTTAAACCCAGAACCCTCACGAAAATTCCCAAACCCCTAAACTCGGGACCATGAGCCTTGAAGCCCCAAAAAAACCCTAAAGCCTAGGCCAGAAAACCCCAAAGCCCGGGAGGCTGAGCCTTTTGATCCACCTGGGAGTCCGATCCCGGGCGAAGATCAGAAGTGCAAGTGTTATGAGTCATAGAGTCAAAGCATCTAATATGTACTGTCACTGACCTGGTTATCGTAAGGTCAAGATGTAGGTCGCTTAGACATGAGACCTCAGCCCCGAAATCAAGCCGAACGCGGAGCGCAACAGACGCAGGCAGTAAAACATCCTGAAAAGTCAGGGGCTCCCGTCTGGAATACAGGTCTGTGTAGTAGGATCTTATCTGCGGCCAGAGGAGACTGCATGGTTGTGATCTTACAGATTCTAGGGCGTAGGGAAGTTTAGGGTTTACGCCTTCTCGGTGTTAGGGCAGTCTAAGGGTCTGCTTGAGTGCGAACCTGCCACAGTGGCCCTGTTCGTTGATGCCAGAAGAGGTGCATGTCTTGGTGAATGTCGTGCGGTCTGGCAGTATTTGCACCGGCGCACTTCTTCGGCGACTAAGTCGTCAGGGGTTGGCTGGGACCTTGTTATGGTAGACTCGGGTCATGGCTCCGGCAAGGTATAAGCACTGCCACCCAGTGTTCCAACATCTTCCCGACCAAAGCTCACGTTTCTGAACCTTTCGAGGTTGGGCTGCCTCAACCCCAGCTTCCCCAATCCTTGTTTTTTGAAAAGGCGTGAAAGGCCGGTAAAGCAAGAGCAGCCGAATGCCAACCGGCTAACTTCAACCCAGCAAGCCCCTCAAGCCCCAAACCCCGCATCCAACCTGAGAAGCAACGAACTCCCACAGCTCCGTAGCCCTATGTACTATGTACCCCAACCCCTGACAAACCCTGCTACACTCCCCCCAGAAAGCCGAGAAGATGTGACCCCCTGAAACCTTCGAGGAAGTCGCAGGGTAGCGGCCAGCAGTCACCCAAGTCCGTGCTGAGCCGGATGTCCAGCTCCTCTGGCCCGAGATTTATACTGGGGTTTGTAAGATCATATAGTCTGATAGTTCCCCCCTCATCCAGTCCGCCATGGTAGCGATTATGATGATGACTATTAGACATGGTCATGAGGATCAAAGGATGTTTCATCACTTACGCTGGCGGTAGGTTTTAACCCAAGACTGTGTGCGAGTGCACATGCTGGTCTCCTTGAGGAAAACTTGGTGAGTAGATACGCACATATTCGGGTTTCCTTTTGGTGATACGGGGTAGTTACAATGAAACCAGGCCTTCCTACGGGAGTTTGAGAAGTTGAAGGATCCAAACGTGACCCCAAAGCCTCATTTCTCTGCCCGCCTATCGATGCAAACAAAAGCACGTCACATCTTAGTCCTGAACCCTAACCCACTTCCCACTGTTACCTCGAAGTTACCCTGCAATGACGGGCCTCGTCCTTGCTTCCAAGGGTAACAGGAGGGACCCTTAATAAGGACCACTAGGTATATACCCTTCATATAGCCATTAGATAACCATAATTATAGCCCATTATAGATAGGGTAGGGGTCCCCATTAAGGGTCCCTCCTTCTCCCCTTTGATTGCTAAGTCGGAGGGAAAGAGCAAACTGAGGTACCCGATCTTTGCTCTCAGCGGCCTCGGGGGCGAAGCTCCTTGGATATTTCTGCCAGAAGGGTTTAGGGTATTTAGGGTTTAGGGTTGAGGATCTCGGGTTACTTACTTTTGGTTAGTAGGGAATGGAAGGATGGTAGTAATAGTAGTGATAATTGTACCCCACTCCTCCATGCCCTACTAACCAAAGGTAAGGTTAAGGAGTTTAAGCTTTCCGGTGGGCTTTGGGCCGGAGGGAAAGTCCCCAGATATCGGCATTCAGATGTGATCGTGAAGCCCTGCAAAAGTGGTGGAGCATTTGGGGCATCTATCTCACACCATCTCAAGCCCAGGGTCTGAAGGAAGCCTTGAAGCTGACACCGAAGCAATCACTGATCCCTTTGTCGGACATCTTGTGAGACGATCTACGGCGCGAGCTAAAAGGTATGAGAGGACAGATGATGCCACATCTGCAGGAAGCAGAAGAGCCACACTCGTCTCGAGATGATCTTTGTCGCCTCCGTGCACTGCATCTGCAGTTCCATGGCCGAGGCCCCTGCGGCATCGTAGTACTTAAAGGATCATGGGACTTAGTAACTAGGGTTATAATTAGGGTAACTATACTTATAACCCCAATCAGGGTACTTATAACCTTACTTACTAAGTCCCATGATCCTCCAAGTAGGGAGAGGTGCAAGTGTAGTCATGTAGCAAAGTTCCCGGAAATGTCAGATGCTCGGTGCCCAGGATGCAAGCATACTCACAGGCCGCCAAATCTCCCCAAAAAACCTACCAAGAGGTCTGTCAACTCTCCTGAGAAATGAAGTTGCAAAGTCCCAAATCCCTGAGTCGCAAAACCCTAACGCCGAAACCCTGCTCCCCTGTAGCAACTCAGTCCAAAGGCATTCGAAGTCGCTTCTTGAGCAGTCGAACAGTCATGGAGTCTTGGAGTGTTTCACCTCAACCGGCTACGCAGCAATAAAATCGCTTGAATTGAACCCCAAACTCCTTGGTGCTTAGTAGGGAATGGGGGAATGGATCCCTCCAGTAGTCCCTATACAGTCCCCAAAAATAGTTCCCATAATCCATCCCCCCGTTCCCTTCTAAGCACCAGGGAGTAAAACCCAGAGGCCGGGTTAGAGAGTCTCATGGCCGATGAGATCCTCAACTTGCGGCTTGCTCTGATGGCCGGGTTCCCCTCAAAGCATGAAGTTGAACCCAGAGTAAGATCTAGGATTTTGTGGAGGTTTATGGGTTGCAAGGTTGTTTAGAGTTTGTGTTGTGAGTCCTAGGCAAAGAAAAAGCTTGTACAGGGTTTGAGGTTGGGAGTCTGGCAGGAGGTGCGTTATCGAACTGCCGAAGTGCAGCCGGGGCTTCTTCTAGCCAGCGCCGAACTCAGGCTTTTCGTCGCCTTGGATGCAACTGCATTTCCACTGGAAGCACGCGAGAGGGCGTGTCTGCTGCTGTGCTATCTCGCCAATTTCTCAGAGAAGGCACCTCGGGCGCAAAGGGGGTACTGGATGTCATTGCAAGCGGATGCAGATAGAGCAGCTGTGATCAGCCACACTGCCCTATTAAGGGCAACTCATGCACACCAGGTGTCAACTGCGATCTCCCGTGGTGGATCGCCACTTTGGCAGTCGATGCTGACCACCCTTAAGGACCACGGAGAGTGGGTGTGGAAGCATGTTGAAGCACCTGCGTTCAAGCATGTATGGATGTTATGCTTCTTGCAATAAAGATGTTGGACCAGAACTTCCCAGGCTCCTGGTGATCCTGCAGCGCGATACGCTTTAAGCCTTTAAGCTGTCAGGACTGGGGGCTTGTGGAGGGATATACAAGAAGGCAGATTCACGAAGAAGGCTGGAGGCCAGCATGCGGCTCAGGGAAAACATGGATGGGCACGAAGCGGCAAATGTAAAGGGTTGCAAATTCAAACACCCGCCTTGGAATGACATGGGGAGACACTGTTTCTTGTTTGTCACTGTATCGTACATACCCGCTCTTGTTGGCTCTTGACCGGGTACTTGACAAAGTAAGCAGGTATCGAAGAGGAGCAGTGGAGTCTCGTTGATTTTCCGCTTTCGAATCAGACCTTCGTCCACCCAGGTGCACTGCTAAACTGCTAAACCCCGCTGACACATCAAACTGCACAAGTTGCAGCATCTAGTCGCTTGCCCGTTTCGTTCGAGGACCACCTGGCAGCTGCTGAGGCGCGTCTCGTAGGTGCTCCTCCTTCCTCGTGGCCCGTATGGGGTTCATGTAGCAGAGCCAAGATGCACCAAGTGAGGTTCAAAGCCACCGCGCAACTCACGTGACTTCCCGGACACTTTGCTAAACCCGCCAGCTAACGCATCGCTCCTGTGTCACAGGCCGAAGAAAAGGAGCCTTGGCGGCTTATAACCCTAAACCCTTTCAGGGTTTAAGGGTTAGAATTGGGCACTGCATATGAATGCAAGCTCCCGCGCCGTTCTAGTCCGCGCACGTGCTTCTGAGAGCCGTTGCAAGTCACTTCGCGCCTTTCAAATCTGAAGTCCTAGCTATATATGATAGATAGGCTGTACATGTTCTACAAGCTTTAAAGTTATGTTAGTCGTCGTCATAAGCTTGAAGTTACTTTAAGTTGTATTAGCAGCACTGAATCCGACTCCATTGCTGGAATGAAGCCTATTGTTTTCCAGCTTTCCCGGGATCAGAACCTCGAGCGGTACATTGAGCAAGCCTCTTTTCAAGGAGTTCGGCGATATGGAGAAAACTGTAGACGAAATTCTGCTGGACCTGCCGGTGCCGGGAGAGGCGGGATACTGTGGGGGGTGTACAGGATTTGTAAGTTGGTACTCGTACAAGGTCGGTCAGTGGCAAACAACAGTTGAGGCTGCAAACTTTCTACATGTGCAGCTTTGGAATCACTCCATGGACTGGGAGCTTGGTAAGGCACCCGTGCTGGAAGTCAGGGTCCATGCTTTATTTGTATTGACCAGTGGCTAGTACAGGTATTGTCACACGAGAAGTAACTCCTACCCGCGAGCCCTTTGTCCAGAGGATTTGGAGACCTGCTGGTTGCGCGCGCAGAACGTCAGCCGACCAGGGTTGCTCTTGGAGGCCTTGTCCTTTCGTGGACGCCCTTCTTGTTCTTTAGTGACTTCAATGCCTTACTGGCATGGACCCTTTGCAGCTCATGTGCCAATGTCCCAGATTTCCTGACTCCCCAGACTTCCCCTGCTCATTTCTCAAGGCGATGCGTGCCTTGCCTTATGAGACGCGAATCCAGGTAACTGGCTGCTCCTCGACTTAGCTTCAGGCCTCCCTGATTTCAGTGTCGCTGCTGTACTAGCTGTACATGCTGTACTCAAGTATCTTCGAGGGTAGACCTGGGCCTCTGTGCGTTTCTACCTCCGGCAGGAAATGTGGGGATCCTGTTCCTTCATAGGGTCCGGAAGTTCTGAAGCATTGCTGGCATCCAACATCGTGGCAAGAAGAGCCCCAGACTAAATCCCCTGAAATGATGACCGTGCCCTTCATTATAACTATACCCTGCAGAAAAGGTACCGCCTGGCGCAAAATGGCGCTGATGGCCGCTGTGGACCGTGGTCGCGACAGGGAGGCTTGACAACTTGAATCGAGTTGTTATAGCCAGACGGTTGATACTCGGTACGAACACGCCCATCTCAAATAATTAGCTGGTACTCCAAACCAGGAAAGCTGCTGCTAGAGAACATCAAGCTGTCGATAAACGCTTGAAAATCATAAAGTCATGTTTGCGCTGTTAAACCTCTGTTGCGACGGATTCCGCATTGGCACAGCTGCAGCCAGCATGGAATGTGAGAGGTTCGGGGTTCGGCGTGTAGCGTCAGGTGTTGAGATCGGAGCGAGGAAAGGTCTGCGAAATTGCAGCAACCTTTGAATGCTCAAGGGCCGTTGATCAAGGGCGATTTCCGGTCGGGCTCCTCTTCTGCAACCCACGCTACATAAGACCAGTAAGACTGCTGATTCAGGATGCGACCCTGCGCGAACAGCGTCTACTTGTTCAGGAGATTCGGGCCTGAAGTGATATCCTCGAGTTTGGTCCATCCAGTGAGGGACAGACGTTCACGACTGGCTCGACCAAACATGGACCTTTCGACGTGCGGAAGTCGAAATTTTATGCACAAGCATAGAAACCTCCTGAATCTCGGGCACTAAGGAAATTCATGAGGTATATGTCATTGATATACCTATATTCGTTATGTATACCTAGATATACCCTTCGCGCTTTAAGTTGGACGCTTTCAGATTGTCGGCAGAAGTCCCGCAGTTATCAGAGGCTGTGGTCGCCGGGCTGCCTGTTGCGGTGCCTCGGAACGGCAAAGCAACGCAAGGATGGGGAGATGGTGGGAAAGCTAATGCATCGAGTACTTGGGGGATGATCTGCCAGCGATGGCTTGCAACGAGTCCTCGCTGAGCTGTACTTTCTTTCCTATTTCTGCAACGTACCTGTGCTTCAGGAATAACGTACAAACACTTTCTGTTTTAGTATGGAGATTCGTTCCGCTTATGGTACGGTAGGGTACGACTCCTTAGCACTTGCACCTCGCCTTTGAAGGCCTCCTCCGTAGCACAGATGGCCATCGAAACTCCGAGTCTACCTGACTGACTTGGAGGTGTTTTGAAATGAGGGGCTCGTGTTTTGGAGGTCTATGAGGCCCCTTTGAAATAATGAAGAGAGACGCCCTACGTCTGCAGCAAAGGGGCCCAGGAGTCTCACAGATTTTGGCCTCTCAAAAGCTGCAAGCTGAAAACGTGATTAAACTCCTTGGGATTACCTTAATTAAAGGATTCTATATATGAACCCCAAAAAGGAACTACTTTGGAGCCTCTGGGTAAACTCCGCACATATGCCATGACATACCCCGAGTCCCATGTCCACCGTAGGTGCAGCTTGCTGTCACGGCGCTCCACGGCCACGAGCGCAGCGCTGAGGCTCAGCAGCGGGCCACCATGGCACTGCAGGCCGGACAGAGTCATGATGAGTCATGTATCTACTTCGGGCTTAAAGGGTTAAGAGGGACCGAAGGCGCACAGGCCGTATCAGAATCTTGGTGTTTCATGGTAGTACGGTGTGATCAGCAGCAGTATATTCAGCAAGAAGGAGGCCTGGTGGCCTGGTATTCAGAAGACCAGAGTTGAGACTACTCCCCATACAGTTGGTCTGGTGCTGTCGTGCTTCTGTCTGGGTTTGTAGGACTTCCCATCCCACTTCAGTCCTACATGAGTGAGGGTTTGCTGAGAAGCATTCTCCCTGGTCCCTCGGCGTAATATAGGGGCGGCCTAAATAGTTACCAACACTCTTCTGGGGGGGCTCCTTCTCATATTTATAGTATACTGGGCCCCAAATATTATACTCAAGTGTTGTATGATCTTCAGACCATCCCCTCGATTGAAGAGTCGTTCTGTCCTTTTCGTGGCGAGACACTGCTACAGCCCCTTCAGAGGATGCTGTGCAAGCGGATTCTGTTTCCGGGCTGCGAAATGACAGAAATACTAGCACTGAAGCTATGAGGCCTTGCTGCGGCTCTCGACAGCTTCTGGTGGGGAAGGTGAGGATGCAGCCATCACGCGGCTGGCTTCATGGCGCAATGTACATGGTCGTAGAGTCGTGGAGCATTCCCGACATCTGCGATGACATCAGATCCTGCCTTTTTGTTTGAGGCTCCCACTCTACCAACACAGACAGATTCCGCTTATTTCGACCTCTGTGACCGAGCAGAGCTAGCCTTACAAGTCAGGAGATCCTCCTGCGAATTCGACTGACATCCCAGGTCCTAGGTCACATCATGTGGCCAAAGCTGCCCTAACACAGAAACTGTTTCTGTCCCCTTTGAGGTCAGCCTTGGCGCTGTCCCATTGCTGGCGCGCGCCCTCGAGAACTACCCGGACGATCCAGAACTGCAGGTGCTCGCGACTTCGGGGATCCTAAAGTCTGCTGATCCGAAGTCGCTTGTAGGAAAGACGGGGGGCTGGAGAGACGGGGGGCCTGAATTGATATGGAGTACTACAGTTGCTATTACTATAGTTCTCCAGCATCTTTCAGGGAACTAGCTCATTGTTCAGTGCTCCAACACAAGAGCGAAGGTTGCGAGAATTGCATGGGAGAGTCCCGGTGCTTGCTTATGACCTCGGCGGCTGACTTTCATCCGATCTCTCAAGGGCACCAGTTCTTGAGACTCAGCCCCCAGCTTGTAAACGACACGTTGCTTCAGCCCTTTACCTGAACTAGGTAGGGCTTTGGGAAATTTTATATATTCCCTTATTGGGCTTAAGAGGATCTTGTCTACTAATAATATGTTTCAAAGGCTTTAAAAGCCCCACCCAGTGAACCCTCATTGTGGCTCAAGCTTGTGGTTTTTGACCTCCACGGGTGTTTGCCTTTGACCTCCGCAGATTCCACGGATGATAACATCAGACATGTGATTATCCCTTTGGTATTCAGCAGAGATATATGAACAGCATCACGATGATTATAACAAGCTGCAGTTCCCGCGACCCCGCCCCACTGTGACCCTTTGTAGGATGAGTGATTTGGGCGGTATCACGCGTTTGGAAGGGCATTCTGACCTGTCTTAGGAGGGTTAGTTCTGGGGTTGCGTTGTTGTCATGCTCTTCCTATGTCTGCCTGACTTAGTTTCACTCCCGACTCAAGACCATACAGACACCTCGCCTGGATTGTCCGAGTGTGAGCGCCGAAACCTTAAACTACATC